TTCCCTTTATTCAAAACCATTAGTAAGATGTTAAATAATAAATGAACATACACTGATCTTCTTATAAGTGAGGATTACATTGAGATAATGATTAAATTGTACACACATATTTCTTTGTCAAACACACCAGTCAGAGAGACATCAGACAGGCAGACTCAGACACACACACACACACACACACACACACACACACACACACAGAGAGAGAGAGAGAGAGAGAGAGAGAGAGGGACGAGGCAGACAGCATCCTTAGCTTTAATCAGTCGGAAAGACAGACAGACAGGCAGACACACAGTACCTAGCCCTACCCAGACGAAGACAGACAGATATACGCAAACAGTACCTAGCACCAATAAGTCGGAAGGACAGATAAACCATCGGTACCTAACACTATACACTCAGAAACACAAGATATTGGTGTATCTCTGCCAGTTTCGGGCATATATGGGTTGGAAATTTTGCAAAGTACACTTTATGGTTAAAGGTAGGTCAAAAGTCAAACTGCAGGTCACATTATGGGGTCTAATATATGATTTCCCGTTTAAGTTCAATAGTAACTATGGATGTATTTCTGTTAGATTTGCAGATATAAATATGGCTAAATGAGCACCCGATGAGTTGTCTTGTCTTGTCTTGTCTTGACTAGCTATGACTCTCTATGACGCCTTCTAATTGGTGTTTTGTCTCTGTTCCTTTGTTCTGTCTTCCCGCGTCTGTGTCATTTGTGACATCTCAGTGTTTAAGGCGTTGGGACTGGATTTCGAAAAGTAGTGGGACAGCTGTTGGTCTATCTGCATTATAATATATGTGGTAAGCTGGGGATGGTCTCGTCTATTCTAGTTCAATTTACGATCTGTTGTTCTATTTCATCCTTTACTTGTCAAACCGCTATACCACGGCGTTGTGTACGTTCTAGTTTACAGACAAAACCAGGTGTTGCCATTACTCAATATAAAATGCCACTAAATTAAATCAGGATAAGTTGTGTTTAGCATACTTATTAAAAAGTATATTATTTCTTTTTCAAGGGGGTATATTTCCAATTACAGTAACCACATAACTACATGTAGAAGCATACGTTACTGAAACAGTAACCATGCTGTATTTTATTATTTGTCTAATGTCATTCTATCTCTTTACTTTTCATCGTTAATTACAGGGTGACAAATTTAATAATAATAATGATTAAAATAAATACAGGTATATAAATTAACCACACCGAGTGTGAGTCAGTTACAAGGATATAAGGGTTTGAAATTTAGTCGGAAAGACAGACAGGCAGACAGACGAAGAAACAATACCTAGCACCACTCGGGAAGTCCCTCTCGGTGTCCAACTTGACCCGTAAGTCAGCACCCCAGTGAAGCCAAGCTGTCTGCAGGTCACCTTGGCGTCGTTCAGTGACCACCAGTATTCACACACCCTCCCCCAGCTACCTGCATAGAATATCTCCACTCGTCCATGATACTGTGAATCGCCGATCAATCTCACTTCTCCGTCATTGGCTGTAGGTAATGCAAAATGACAAACAACGAGTAATGACAACATTGCACAAATTACTGCTGGTGTAACGAAACTGAGGGTCTGTGTAATATAAAATCCGCTCTCCATTTAGTTATTATGGTTAGGGTTAACATGACATAAGTTGGTCAAATTCTAGGGCGAGGTTTACCTGTACAAAATGAATGGGAAACACACTCTCTATTATGTGGGAGTTCTGTCACGACACACCAGTATTTGAATGTTCTGTGCACATAGGCATTACTACTAACGACAAATAAATGCTAATCTGTGCTTCCTAAAATATTTGCAATGTCGTCTACCACGGATATCCCCCTTTTTAAACTACAGTTTTAACCGACTTTACAAAAGTAAAGTCGCATACTCTTTAGCTTAAGCAACAAGAATTGTGTTTTTTTGTGTGGCTGGAGGGGGGTTTGTCCGGAACCACCTCTGAAATATACTCACGCCCTTTACACAGAACGCCGGCGTCATCTGACGAAGACTGGGAACAATAAGAGTTGCTGACGCCAACGCCGCCATGGGAACAATCTGCCAAGCGCGCCTCTGTTCCCTGGCAGTTCAAATTATGTATCCAGAATCGACCTGGTGTTTGAAAAGATAATTCATAAAAAATACTGACTCTAACTTCATATATTTACGTAAGGCAACAGTCAATAATTAATTATGTAACTCTGAGCAAGATCGTCAGTGTCTTCAGAAAAAGTTCTAAATCTTGCAAAATCTCTGTTACCTGACATTGTTTTCGTCTGTGATTTATATTTTCTGTAATAGGTAAAATAATCGGCGTTGTGCTATCAGTCATTGCTGTGTTTCATTCGCCTCTTAATAAACCCGCCGTGTTTGACTGCGTTTCGCTATTTGTACCCTAAAAAGCAGCTTAATTGTTTAACATCTCTGCATGCATTGAACTCACAACAATGTGTAAAGTAACAAAACATTCAGCAAACAATTAGCAGGTACACATGTTATGCTTGGTAATTATATTCATTTTCAATTTATTTATTTCTGTACTGGTACATAGATTGCCATGACCTTGTACAATATGATATACTAATGACGATACAATACAATTAGTGCATTACCATTTCTCTAGTTGGTATTATGTTGCCTAGCCATTTGTGAATGAAAAAATAATCTTTATATAATGAACATACATACTAGTAAAATTACTCATAAAATATTCTATCTAAGCAATGAGATAAACTTTGGTGTGATTATAAATTTACCATAAACATACTATAAGCATGTTACACAAAAGGATATGATTAAACTTAAAACCACAGTTACATAGCTGTTTACATGGCTGTTTAAAACCAGTTTGATGACATTGATAATTACGATTAATGACGATTACATAAGACAGATAAGTAAATAAATTACACAGATATAAATATTGTGCCATGTTCAGTCCCACTGCCGAGTCACTTCTCACAACAGTGGGACCATACACTGACATTTTAAGGGATATGCTAAGAGTTACCAAGCAGAGCAACCACTTCACTTCTTTTCTTGAACGATTTGATTATAAAGTTGGAGAGGGACACTAAAGTATCTTTGTTGGCACTGTTAAATACATGGCATAATTGACTGTCTGGTGACCTTGTATCAGCTTTTAGGATTGAGGTTTTACTAAAAAAGGTGACTCGGTCTGCTTTGTACATTGGACATTGGAAAATAAAATGGTATTCATCTTCAATTACCCCTTGGGTGCACAGGCCACAGATTCTGTCGCACCTTTCAGTATAATTATCTTGATATGCATGTAAGTTACAAAGAACTGTTGGTGTTGTCGACATCGACAAATCAATCAGGATGTGGACGTCATTCTCCTCTAGGAAGTTAGTACACACACGGGATACATGGGGTCGTGCATTGTCGTGCTGGAATAGAGCTCCTGCTCCAAGCTGGGCCAGAAAAAGTAGTACCACAGGCCTCAGGATCTCATCCCGATAACGGAGACCATTGAGGTTTCCTTCGATGAAAACCAGCTCTGTCCGGTAATTTGCCGATATGGCTGCCCAAGCCATAGCACTGGGACCACCCCTTCACTTGGCGCACACAAGATTCGGGATTCCTCTCCCGACGTCTCCTGTATACCCGATCTCGGCCATCTGTTCTGAAGCACTGTAACATTTTCTCGTCGCTAAACACGACTTGGGGCCACCTCTGGAAAGTACAACGATGATATGCAGTGCACCATTCGATCCAAGCTCGGCGATGTTGGGGGATAAGTACTGATCCAACATATGGACGATATGGTCGGATACCGTCGGCGCGGAGGCGATTACGGATGGTTCTGGCAGGGACTTGTTACGGAGATGTACCAGCCGGTTGGCGCAGTCTTGTGCAGCGGTCGTTAGACGGGGGCGACCAGTACGAGTTCGTTAGAGGAACCAGTGGCGTGGTATCGCTCAGCAAGACGAATAATGGTAGAGCGGTGGACTCCAAACACCCTGCATGGCGACAGCAAGACAAGCCCGTCCAGCTTGGAGCATGCCAACAGCTCGATCCTCTCTGGTTGCGACAATCGTGGCATCGTGAAGAAGTGTGTTTTTGGGTTCATTCTGGTGCCCTTTTATAGAGAAAGCTTGAGCACAGTTAACCAGTGGTAAAACTCAACTCTGAGGTTCAAAGATGAGTTTGTGTGCATAAACAACCCTGAAATGCACTCTTTATTGTCCTCACAATCCGTCAAGTGGAACCAAGAAATATTTTCACCTGTCTTCAGTCTAATTTGGAGTGAAATCATGATGCTTAGCCATTTTTCCAAATGCACCCGTATTTCTTAGGAATTTTCAAACATTGAAGAGTCGCGTTTCTTTTTTCCTTGAGTGTATATTGTAGGTATTTGCGTGTAAGTGTTGCTCTCTCTCTCTCTCTCTCTCTCTCTCCATTCTTAATTTGCATTTGTATGTACATTCATTGTTTTTTATATTTTTGAGATTCGTTATTCCATTGTTGTTTTGTATTTACTTATTATTATCATTATTTTTCTGTTTGTTTAATTTCAACACTACCGATATCACTCCCACTACCGATATCACTCCCACTACCACTACAACTACTTGTATGTACTCGTGGTGCGTGGACAATAAAGGTAAACTTTAAAGATGACCGAGTTTGCGTTTCAAGTTATTGACCTGTAGACAGCAACAGTTCATATAGTATAGGTCATGTGATTTAAGATTATTCGATTTCTATGTGTACATGCTTTTTTGTTTTAAAATATGCATACTCACTTGTCCCCCTAGGCGACATACTAAATAATCGCGTGTGGGCTCCAGTAAAACCAAGCTGTTTACACGCCACGTCAGCGCTAGACAGGTCCCAGCCGTAGTCCGAAACTCTTCCCCATCTCCCGGAATAGAAGATCTCCAAGCGACCTTCGTACGCATTTGATGTGTTAATAAGACGCAAGGCACCATCACCGTCTGTAAACATAATCAAAATACCATTCAGATCGAACGTTTTTATATAATATTTATTTCTTAAACTTCCTCATGTTTGATACTCCGGTAAAAATGATGAGACAATCATTTACCTTAATGCTACAAAATATATACATGCTTGATGATGAGAAACGGGATCAGAAGATGTTTTGGATACCAGCTGGATAAAAAAAGATCTGCCATAATAGAGACGAGTGGATCGTAGGTTGAATTGCGGCGTTTATGACTAAATGTTAGGTTCCAGGACAGAATAAAACATGTATATGTAACCGTTTCTGAAATCTAATTATTTTTAACGGATCAACTTGATACCTCACCTCCATGGCATAACACCCCGGCGTCGTCGTAATTACTTTGACCACAATTGCCGGAATTAACGACGCCAACTCCACCGTGGGTGCATTGTGTTATATTGGACTCTGACCCTCCACAGTTTACATTAAACACCCAATATTTACCTGAATCAGAAAAGAATGTAAACCATACAAGACACTTTTAAAAAAATCTAAATTAGCTATAAGCGCGATTTATAATTATATAAAGATGTTATGTAATATGTCATTTGCTTTCTTCATGACTAATTTGAATGCATGTTACCCAAACTAAAAAAAAAACAAAAAAACTGATAACTATATATCTCCACCTTCAATCAACTATAATAGATACAATACGACATTTACATAGTGATGGACGAGCACGATTGTCGACACAACCGAGATCATATACACAACTTACCGGTGCCTCTAGGACTCCAGCCCCTAAAAGACGTATGAATTCCAGCCAATCCAAGTTGCCTGCAAACCACTTTGGCATCATTGAAGCCCCAGTTGTAGTCACAAACACGCCCCCACTCCCCGCCATAGTACACCTCAACACGGCCTTCGTAGGGGCTAGTTGTGTTCACCAGGCGAACTGCACCATCGCCAGCTACAAAGTATGGAAGGAGAGTTATTGTGCCTCACTCAGTCGGAATAAAATTAACTTTTGCCGCTTTGGATTAGCTTGTTTGTTTTGGGGATGACACCTCTTCGTCTGAGATTCACATTTCACAATAAATACAACCCATGGAAATATAATGAGCTATATGTTACCACCAAATTGGCAATCCCGAATCGCAATCATTCGGGAATTCGTGGTTGCCGTCGCACACCGTGGCCTTCAAAGATGGCTGCCTTTTGTAAAATCTTTTTTTAAAAAGTATTAAAAAAATAACTAAAATTGTGAAATGAACTATAACTTTGAATCTTCGGAACGGATTCATAAACCATGGGAAATTTGCCGTTTTCTCAAAGAAAATCCATTTTTGTCAAAATGTGCAGTTGTTATCACTTTTAAACAATTAGTAAATCTTGTCGTATTTTGTCCTTAAAATACATATCGGCATTTACGTACGTGCTTTACAGATGACCCCAGCATCGTCGTAGTCTCCGGTGCCGCAGTAAGAGTTGATGGTACCCCACCCTCGAGAAGAACAGTTGTACAAACCCTCTTCAGCTCCGGCACAATTGATGTCGGACAACCAATAGGATCCTGTGCCTCTGGGGTTATAGTTGATATATGCTGTTAGAAAACACAACAGGACATAAAGCTCAGCTTTTTTTTATCTTATACCCCCGTCACACTAGAGGCAGAATGAACAAGAATGCCGTCGCAAAGACAATTTTTTGTGCATTCCTAGATATTCAAAGAGCATTCTAAAAACTCCGAGTGCATTTCAAATAGTTTTACCCATTCTTGTGGTCGGCCTGAATGTTAAAAACTTTCGAAGTGCATTCCAAGTGGAGAATTATCGAATGGCATTTGAGTAGTATTCTAACCGCACTGTGACTGCATTCTAAATATTCTCTCGGCATTCCAACAACATTCGAAACATTATGATCACATTCGAGGGATATTCGAACTGACACGCGACTTAAGGCCCCCGTCGTACTTATTCGGAGCCAGCAGGAATCAAGGTAGAACCAGCCAGAATGAATTAATTAAAAAATTCGTGCCATAATCGGGAGGCAATTTCAAATTGCAGTCAGAATATTCCGAATGAAATTCAAATGCCCTACGAGTGTGGTTTGACTGCTGGCCGAATACAGGAAGTATGTAAGAAGGTGCCTCGAATGATATATGAAACGAACTCAAATGCAGTCAACTGCTCCCGGTATGGCTGCCAATGATGGTTTGAAATATAAATAATTCAAACATAATGCAGCTGTAATACATAAAATACTTAATTAAAAGTACTTTTTAACATGTATAGAATGTAACACGATGCCCAGAGTGTATAAATAAAGCCACAGGAATGGTAACTGATCATAATGTTTCTAATGCTGTCGGCCACAAGAATGGGTAAAAATATTTGGAATGCACTCAGAATTTTTAGAATATTTTTAGAATGCTATTCGAATATCCTGGAATGCACAAAGAATTGTATTTCAGACGCCATTCTTAATCATTCCGCCTCTAGTGTGACGGGGATTTTATACTCCGACAGAATGTTTCTAATTGCCTCGGATGAGCTGAAATATTAATTTTGCCAGCAATCGAACTTCATTAGTGCGCCGTTCAAAGTATATTCTAAATATTCTTACTGCCTTCTCACGACATTATAAATATTCCTAGTTTTCCAACTACATTCGAACTGCTTTTGAGAGCTACATAGTCGAAAATGCACTTATCATTCCCAGCGCATTCTGAGTATTCCAACGGTACTCTTACAATATTTAAGGTCAATTTGAAATTTTTCCCCCGAATGTGGTTCGAAATTTAAAAATTCTTTGTTCGGACTCATTCTTCTTCATTCCTGCTGATTTCGAATAAGTGTGACGGGGGTATTAGGATCCGTTCATAATGGATTTATCGCAATGACTCCATGTTGATTCTTGCCAAATGCAATCAGACTAAAATGCATCTTGATTGAAATACAAAAAGCTGGTGATTTTGCGACTATGTTGCAAACAAGATCGAGGTATGTTTTATTTAACCAGCTCATTATTAATCTCTTTAATTCCGTTCTCTAATTTTCAGTCACAGTATATTGGAAGACCTATTTCTGTCTGGGTTTCCTTTGGTGAGCAACTATCGATTTATTAGATTATCGGTAATGCATAGTGCACTAGTAAATGTGATGGTCAAGGAAGCACAGGTCAGAAAAATCAGCAGAGTAATCCAAAACCAATCAGCCAGAAAGAGCTTGATCACATAGTATCTTGAGTAAGTGTTTGATAAGGTAAATCATAAGGTAAATTAAAAGGTAAGGTAAATTAAAATCTTAAGAAAAGGAAAATGATACTTACCAGTGTGGGCATCCTCGTAGCCTAGCTGCTTGCAAGCAACTTTGGCGTCGTTAAGACCCCACCCTTCCTCACACACCCTGCGCCATTCTCCATTATGGTAGATCTCCACACGCCCTTGGTATTGTGTGTCTCCATCTTGAAGGCGAATGTCTCCATCGGCTGGAAAAATGATAATAGAACATCGTGTAATAACATAATTGTTAGTGCATTTGCCACCGCTATACAGATTTGACATTTAATATGGAACATCTCAGTTTCAAAGGTATGCTTATGCAAAAAAATCGTTTTTTTTCAAGATATTCAGATCTCATAGTGTGTAGTCAGGTGTGTCGCTACCAATTAACTTACAACCATGCTTGCAGCGCTGCTGCATTGTGTAACATGCATTAATTTAATTGGGTGGGGCTCTTTTGGGATGGTCAAAGTTTTTCTTTGGTGGCACATGGTTCTGTCCAAAAAGTATCCTTATGTCGGAAGTCACTGGAGAAATGGTGACATCCGATGAGGTCATACGCAGTAGCGACCGTTTCTGTGACTTGACAGTGACATGATGGTCCTTTGTGGGGCGTTTAACTCTTTTACAGATGATCATTTGGAAAATATGGAGATCCAAAATGTCACAATTTACATCACAATTTACACAGAATACATTCTGTAGAAGACGGGGAATCTGTCTTTATAAATTTACCGTTATATACGATTGCATTCTTGAACAGTGTTATAACGGCCTAGGTTTACTTCGTAGGCTGGTTTTATAACTACTTATAGGACCACTTTTTTTTCCACCTTGATGAAGATTCAGTGACTGGTGGGTCTTGTGGTCTGACGTCCCCATACAATATAAATACGACTATTTACATTGGACATCCACATTAATGGATACACGTTATTGTTGAGCAAAGAAAAATACATTCATACCAATAAAACTAAACGCAGGTAGTCCCGTGTTTGAATTTAGTATTAAGGCATAAGAAACACACGGGCCGAATTTCAAGCAAATAAAGCTGGGGTTTGGGGTACATTTAACCCTGAAATGTATGTTTTCAAGATATCAAATGGTCAATTCTTGTTATGAACAATAGACAAATAACGTTAAGTTTCTGACTTGATCGAGTCTTACTTGTCCGAGTAGGGTCACCTTAATGCCAAGGAACCTAGGTCAACCTGTAATGCATGCTTCACCAGTCCTTTTCTTTATCATCGCACACAGATACCGTTGTTCACTGATTGAAAATCAAAATCGCGTTGCTAACAATCTTTGTTTGTCTACCAAGAAGGCGGCTCTTGGGTTTATACCTTCAGCAGGGTGTGCTGTTGAATTTATTTCTTCTTGGATGCAAATGCTTTGAACCAGGGGTTTTAAGAGAGAGTAAATGTAATTTTCGCCGGAAGTGTTCTTTTGTAAAGATACAGGTAGCAGCATTCACAATGTACACTTCTATTGTGGATCCAGAGGAGGACAGTGTGAACGTGCTCATTGGCTTCTAAAGTATGACCTTCTCCCTCACTCCAAACCCACAATAATAATAATAATAATAATAATAATAATAATAATAATGATAATAGCAAGGTAAGCAAAACAAAACCAAGCAATGTTGTATTCCTGTGCCAAACATGCTACATCAAAATGGACCCAGTCTGATTTCGCATTTGTCGACTGAATTAAACGAGTTATTATTATTTTTTTAAATACATTATAACCAATCACTAAATCATCAACAGGGCTCTATGTACACATATGGTGACCTCATAGCAATACCTCCTGCTGATCAGTTTCTCCCAAAATCGTTATGTGGCAGTGCTGAGGACATTTTGGATATCACTGAGAGGATTCAGTGGGTTAAATCAAGATGGACTAGACGATGGGGTCTAGACTATGAATTATTTTTAATTATTATTCATGGTTCCAGGAGAGTGAAACTTTGATACAATTAAACCTCTTCATGTGGGAATCACAGTGGGATCTTAAAAAAAAAACAAAAAAAACGAACATAGTTTGCCATAAGTGCACTAAATATTTTTGAGATCATGCCTGTGACCTCATTTGCACCTCTATAATAGGTTTTGGTGTACTACTACCTGTGAACATTGTAGGTCAAAAAGCACAGAGGCATAGTTCTTGCCGTAGTTGTGAACAACCTTGATAGAGTAGAGAAAGCACATCGCCTTCTCAGATGTCTCCAAAGGCTCAGTTACACTCCTCTTTACAGTCTTGAAGCTATCAAAAGTAACACCATGCTGGTATAATGCAACATTTCTCAGCAAAGATCATTAATCCCAATACGCGTTGTCTTTTTAAAGTGATTAACCGTATCAAAACGGTAGCCGTTATATACGTGGTGGCCACGAGTAAAAGTGTAAACAACCAAATTCAAACACCGCTATTATTTCCCTTAAGGCTATACAACATTGGTTCAAATGGTTGTCCCAACCCCAATGTCATGTGCTTTTATTTGCAAATGATCACCTCACAGGTGTAAATTGTTATAAACAGAGCTTTTTTTTTATTCCAGATACCATATATGTAGCATGATCAATGGTTCAAAAAATACAAAATAGTAGTATAAAAATATATTTTATACCATTTATTCAAATTATAGCATGTACCCCCTCAAACCGACATTTCATTTTGATTTTCACATAGGTAATGTTCTTTAAATTAAAAATATCACCGACCAAATATCACCGACTTTACACACAATTAGCGTTAGGGTGTGCTCATTAAAGGTCGCGTGTCTAAAAGCGTGCTTTTATACCGCGTGCTGCAATTATCTCCTGTAGACGGTGCAGCTTGCCTTCACAAAGGTAAGGACTCTGTTTTGAGGTATTTTATTTCAGTCTTCTTAAAAAGCCTTGTGGAGTAGGCCCAGGTTATCAGGAGGTTGGTGCTCCTCAGCATTGCGCACTCCAATTCATGTCACAGGTGCTCAGTAGGGTTAATATTAAGGCTTAAAGACGGTTGCTCCATCCTCAGAACATTGAGTTTCTGCAACAGATGACTCACCAGGATAGAGCTGTGGTCAAGTGAGTTGTCAAGATGAAGTCGGTAGCATCCCTGAAGTCACCTCTTGCAAATGGAGTGAGACATCTGTTGAGAATGTTACGTTAAAATGCCCCAGTGACGTTCTGTTCCAAAAGGAACAATGTACTACTACTATGGGCTTGGAATGCTCTCCGAACAAGGACTGGAGGTAGGTGTTATTATCCTGCACCCTTCCAAGAGGCACTCTGCGACCTGCCTATGGACCCTCATTTGACCATTGATGAGGTAAAAAAAAACACCTTTATTCTTCAGCAGAACAAGCTTCCTTCCATTGATGGTTGACCAGGTTTCGCCGCCTTTGGGATCATCAGACGTACATTCACAGCTGATTTCTCACTCTATCTGCTAGAGCTAAGTTCAGGGTTAACTTCAGGCTTCATCATAACAGCACACAAGTTCTCGTCTGGCAAGTGGTTTGTTGCAGAAACACAAAGTTCTGAGGATGAGGCAAGCATTTTTGAACCCTGATATTAACCCTAGTGAGCACCTGTGGCATGATATTGAAGTGTGTTATGCAGAGGAAAGGTAACTTCCTAATAATCTTGACCATCTCCTAAAAGCTCTTCAGAAAGAATGGGACAATATCTCACAAAACAGAATTGTTACCCTTGTTGAAGGCTTATAGCGCTGCCTATGGGAGATAATTGCAGTACGTGGTGGGCTATTAAAGACGTGACATTTAACGAGAACACCCTAATAATAATTGTGTGTAAATTTGATGACAGTTGGTGGAATCTTTTTAATTTAATGGACATTTCTTTACCTGGAATAAAAAAAAAAACACTTTTTTATGACTATTTACACCTCTGAGTGCCCTGAGTGTCAGAGTCACTGTGAATCGGGCTTCAACAGTGAGCTCTGAAGAACAGCGACAGTGTACGATTTCCGTCAATCAAAAAGAACTGCTTCACAGTGAATCTGCAGTTGAATGTCATTAGAGCAAAATAAAATGTAAAACGGATTTAATTCTGCTTTATTTACTGTTTTATTTACTGCTTTTAAGATGTAAAGTGAAAAGTAAATAATGTTTCTAAAAGAAAAAGACATATCCAATGTTTTTTGTATTTTTTGCTTATCAAAAAACA